CATGTATTCAAAGGCCCCCTCTTTACCAGTTACTGACCCAGTAGCACTCGGTTCTACGTCCATTATTTGGCAAGCATTGCTCCCCAGACAAGTGCCCAGAGACATGCCGTGCCACCAGCAGCCCTGCTGCCTGAAGACCCTCAGCTCGTTCTCTCTGGGCCCACAAGGTCACCACTCTCCTTTCTCTGTCTCACCACTCTCCTGTCTCTGTCGCATCTGCTGGGTCACAAAGATTGATATCTCTTTTCTGTAATTTTTGCTATGATATTTTGGTTTTTATCAATTATGGATTAATTTTTTAGCCATCTATTCTTGTCCCGCTCTAATCAGTCTTCCACACAAAGCCAGAATGACGTTAAAACTCAAATCATGTGAACTCACTTTAAGCCTTCAGTTACTCCCTGTCATACAAAGGATAAAATCCACACTCGTTGACCTGGAAGACAAAGACCCACATGATTTCCATGTCCCTTGCTCACCTTTCCAGTCCTATCATCTTTCTCTCTCCCTTGCTCATCGAATTCTAGCCCTACTGGGTCCCCCAAGAGATCTATATTTGTACCCATTCCAAAGATGACCCAACAGCATGGTCAAATTATAGTACAATATCATTCATAACACATGCACGTAAAATTTTGCTTCAGATCATCCAACAATGGTTGCAGGGATACATCGACAGGGAGTTGTTAGAAGTTCAGGCCAGATTCAGAAGAGGACTTGGGAGGGCATATTGCTGAAGTTAACGTGGAACTTGGCTAAAAGCAGCGAGTTCCAGAAAGATGTTTTCTTACTTGTGTTTTATTGACTGCCAAGACATTTGGCTGTGTCAGTCATAACAGATTATGGACAGTGATAGTCTTGAGAGGAATAGAAATTACAAAACACTTCATTGTGCTCATTCAGAACTTGCACATGGATCAAGAGGTAGTTGTGTGAACGGAATAGGGAATGCCGCATGGTGTAAAATCAGGAACGGTGTGTCAGGGTTGTATCCTCTCACCATACTTGTTCAATCTGTATGCTGAGCAAATCATCAGAGAAGCTGGATTATATCGAGGAACACAGCATCAGGATCGGAGGAAGGCTTCTTAACAACCTGCAATATACAGATGACACATCCTTGCATGCTGAAAATGAGGAGGACCTGAGGAAATTGCTGATGAAGACCAAAGATTGCAGTATGGATTACAACTCAAAATAACACATAACTGGACCATGATAAGTGGAAGAGATTGAAGCTGTTAATGATCTGTTTTGCTTGTCTCTACAACCAGTGCTTTTTAACTACACCAAACCAAACCCACTGCCATAGAGTTGGCTTTCCAAATCATAGTGATCTTACAGGCCAGGGTAGAACTGCCCTATGTGGTTTCTGAAGTTACGCAGCCAGATCCTTTAATGACTGTACAAGCGATACTGTGGTGGGAAACCAACGATATACCTATGTTTTAAATTAAAGATCACCTGCCTTATTAGGCATATACAAAAGTTACCTTAATGACAATTTCTCTTTTGAAGTAGAATTGCAATTTAATTTTATTTACTCAATTTATGCATCCTCCTTCTCCTAGTAAATGTATAGAAGCCAGTACATTTGAAATAAAACTAACTAAAAGGGTTGGGCTTAGTTAATAAGTCAAAACATGCAATGAATTTTTGGAGTTGACATGGTGGACATACAATAGCAGTTGGCATTTGAGAACCAGACGAAGATATCTTGAAACCATGATGTCAATTTGTCTCTAGCTGGTCCTTCATCACTGGCTGCTGGTTCTCTTTAGTTTGGGTCAGTGAATTTTAGAGTAGCTTATGCGTATTGAAGTTAATTTTTCGGCTATCAGCCACTCTGGGATTAAATAATAGTGCTAGTTGCCATCGAGTCAGTTCTGACTCATGAGAACTATACAAATCGTAGAAGGAAATGTTGCCTGGTCCAATTGCCAAGCCTCATGATTAGTTACTGTATGCCAGGTCTTTCTTGGCTAGTTTGGAAGTCTATCACCAGGCATCTCCACCTTCTCTGTCTTCGTCTGGTAGCTCTGTCCACTATGAGTGATCTTGCTGGTATTTGAAAAACCAATGGCATAGCATCTAGCATTCTAGCAGCACATGGTGATTATAATCTATTAACAAGCTAGGTCAAAGATCTTTTTCTCCTGCCTTTTTAGAATTGACCAACTGAACCATTGATGGGTGTGTTCATTGTGTTCTGATAGCTAGGCATCATCCTTTATATCTTGTCTTAAAAACTAACCATGCATATTGTGTGTATTCTGATTAGACTTCACCCAGATTTTAAAGGATATTGGTTTTTGTTCTTTATTAATGGAAGGAAGTTTTTGAACTTGCTTGGCCTTAAACTCAGCTTAACAATAGCTCTGGCCAGCAGTCTTTGTATGGGTCAGAAGTCCTTTGACTCCCACATCCCTCCAATCTGGTATTTTTCCTAGTTTGGGAAATTTAGCTGTGCTTGATGGTCCTCAGAGAAGTCACTGTACATCATGCATAGGCTTGAAGTTGGAGACACCTGTCTTGGACATACAGTTATTTATAATGTCAGTTATTGGGAATGATGAGATGATTCCTCCTGGTGTAATGGGGGAATTTACATTTTAAAAGGTATGTGAAAGCTGGCCTTATAATTAAAAAGCAGTAACTATTGTTTACTAGACTCTTCATTGTACTGGGCGTGTGCAAAACCCATTACAGCTATTGTCTGCCTTCTGCCTTCCAATAATCCCAGCCAGTTTGCTCCTGAGTTAACTAACTCATGGTGACGCTGTAGGCTGTCAGAGTGAAACTGTGCTCCGTAGGGTTTCCATTGACTGGGTTTTTTGGAAAGTACATCACCAGGCTTTTCTTCTGAGGTACTTCTGGGTGGACAGGAACTTCCAACCTTCCATTCAGCAGTCAGCATGTTCATCCTTCGTGATACCCAGGAACTCCTGCAGAGTAGGCAATATAAACTCATTCACACACAAGGGTGCTCAGAAAGGCCAGGTGATGTATCTATCCACAGGCACACAGCTTCTGTCTGGTGGTGCTGGATGTGAAGAGCCTATGTGTGTGAAACTTCTCATTACAGTGGGCTTGAATAGGCAAAGGGCGGCGTTTTAATCCGTTTTTTTTTTCTTTTTAATCAGAAAACAGTTTTCTTTGAAAACTGATTAATTAAGCATTTATATTTTGTATTTATACTAGGTAATCTTTGCTTGTTGTTGTTGGGATCCTTCTTAATTACCAGATGAATTTGCTCAAACTGGCCAGGTATCAGTTAGACATTTAATCTTTAATATCCTACCCTAATCCATCCCCACTAGAAATAGAGCCTCAATGGTAAAGTGGGTAACCGTTGAATTGTTGACAGCAAGGTCAGTGGTGATAAAGAGGAGGCAGTTAATGCCCATAGAACATGTACAGGCTTGGAAATCCCCAGAAGCAGCCCTCCTCTGTCCTGTAGAATTACATTGAGCTGGAATCAACTTGTTAGCAGTGGATGTGGGGCTCTTTCCTCTGACCATTCATCTTTCATACAAACAAGACTTTATACTACTGGGCTATAGTTTAAGATGCCCTGGTGGTATAGTGGGTAACATGTCAGGCTGCTAAGCACAATGTCAGTAGTCTGAAATTACAAGCCGCTGCACAGGAGAAAGACAAGGCTTTCTATCCCCTTAAAGGTATGTAGTCTTATGGCCCTACTCAATATTCGCCCTCATGAAGAGATCACTGAAAATGTGAGTGCTGTAGCAAAGTTTGGTGAAGAAATCAGATGGTGCCCAGCAATCAGAAAGAATAGCTGTGGGGTCTTAAAAGCTTATCTTCAAGCAAACAGCCAACTGAGTAGTGTATCAACTAAGTCCACATGAAAGAAGTGTGCTTATGTGTGATCCAAGGATTTTAAGGAATAAAATCCAAATTCAGAGGAGGGAATAATATGAGAGCTTAAATTCTGAATATCCATTTTGCAGAAGGCTGTGAATGACAATGAAAACCCAGAATCCATTTGCAGGGCCCCCACATGGATTAAGATTCTGACGATCAATGTGTGTAAAGCCTTGCTATCAGACAGCATTGTAAAATTGATTGTGGCACCTTTGATTAAGTTAAAATGTAACACTTTATCATTGATTTCCCTTTTGACCCACTTTAAAGTGGTTTCCGTTTTCATCATTGGTTTTTCTTGCTTCTTGTTTCTGTTTTGTATGTTTCACTGTATATGAAATCCAGAATAGATTAGTGTTCATAGAGACAGTAACTGGATTAGTAATTACTTAGGAGCATGACAAGGGAAATTGGGGGGGAAACGGGGAGATAACAATGAATATGAGAAAGAAGAAAATGTTTTGAAATTGATGCTGATAATGTTGGCATAGGAAGCCTTAATCTGTTTGAATTACATTGTATGATATGTGAGTTATATGCCAATAAAACTTTTTTAAAAACCCAGTAATGTTAGGACAAGATTATAATCAATTAAATAGAAGATTGCATGACTCTGTTCTAACATTAAAAAAAAAAAGATTGACAGTCTTGGAAAGCCACAGGTACAGAATTGACTAGGTAACCGTGTCCTGTAAAATACATTAGAATTTCATTCAGAGCTGTTTCCTCATTTCTGCTTGGCCCTAAGCAGCAGTGACCACATGAGAGCATGACCCCACGGGTTGGACGCACAGGTGGGGTGGCATCATCACCAACCTCTCAGACTTCAGATCGGGAGGGCAGATCAGAAAAGCAGCTAACCCTAAGAAAGAATTTGTATTTTAAAACGTCTGCTATTCAGTGAAACATGTTTTCAATCATGTCATTGTTCTTACCATTGATTTTGCCACTCGATTTCTTTGGAACCGAAACTGTGGAAACAGTCTGGCGTTCAGGTTCATCAAGCTTTGAGCGAGTCACCTGTGACTGGGGATTCAGGGAAAGAGCCCGCTGGGGACCACTGGGTAGCAGCAGGTCACGCTGTTGAAAACGTGCCCTTGTGTTTCTCCCCGCAGTAAAGTTCCAGCATTTGTGAGAATGATTGCTCCCGAGGGCTCCTTGGTGTTTCACGAAAAAGCCTGGAACGCATACCCCTACTGTAGAACAAGTAAGCCCGGTTCCCTGCAGCCATTCGCCCTTCCACTTCACTGACGAAGGAGCCCAAGCAGTGGCTGCTAACCCAAAGGTCAGCGGTTCAAGTCCATCAGCTGCCTCCAAGGGAGAAAGATTGGTGGTCTTCCATGGGAATTTACAGACTTGGCAACTGTATGGGCCAGTTCTACTCTACCCTCTAGGGTTGCTTTGAGTCAAAACCGACTTGATGGTAATGGGCTTGGACTCCACTATTGAGGGAGGACTTCCTGGTGCCCATGCCTCTGAGGAGTTTCACGGAAAAGGCTGACCACCTGTGTTTCCCCACTACCAAAGTGGCCACGGAAGAGAGCTGCTCTAAGGCCCTCCTCTCAGACCTTTGAGGGCCGCAGGTCCTAGGGCTGCGCAAACAAAAGACAGAGCCCATATTTAGAAGTGTCTGTTTCTGTTTTGGTCACACAAGAGAGGACGGCTCTGACTGACTTTTGAAGCCACTTCCTGTCATTTGCTAAAATGACATTTTGCTATCATTACCGAAAAAGTGTGATTAATCTTCATAATCTGATGGTACTTCACTATCCAAATTGAACAGAGCATCTCTTGTATAGTAAACTGTGTTTTGCAGATGTAAGTTCCTAAAGGCTGTGTGCTTTCTGGGGGGGGTCTCATCTTTGTGACATTAAATCCTGAGCAGACGGTTTCGACTCAGATTAATATTCCAACATTTTGTTTCCCTCCCATTCCCTGTGCTGCATGGTGCCTCAGTTGTAACGGTGAGTAAAAACCATTATGTGTCACATGCTTCCTTTCCCTCCTTGCACTCTGTTTTCACAGCTACTGTTTTTGGCGGCTCCTTGCTTTTTCATTTTGCCACCTTCTGACTCCCCTCCCACACCACCTTTCCCTAATGGGAAGTTTCCAGGTTCCTTTCAGCCGAGACTCCAGGATCTTCCTGCTGGTTGTATTTTGCGTGCACTGCTGAGTCTGCTCCTCAAACCTCCCAGCCTCTCTTTCCACGAGCCTAGAATGCTGCACGACTTGCAGGCTTAGTTCAGTCATTTGAAAGCATGTGCACCAGTTGGCTTTCCTGGCAACCTGTGAAAATAGATGGCTTTGTTTCTTGGGGCTCCAGCTGTTTCTAGAGCTGGAGCCTGGGCGCATATACTTTGGGGGCTGGGCGGTAGGGGACAGTGCCCCCAGGACATAGGCCCCATCAAGAGGTGGCTCTCACGGTGCTGTTGTATTTTCTGCAGAACGAATATATGAAAGACGACTTCTTCATTAAAATTGAAACATGGCACAAACCAGACTTGGGAACTTTAGAAAACGTAAGTCTCAACTCTGCATTTGATTCAGAAGCCCCTGGAAGTGGGAATCCCATGGTCTACTTTGCTAGGCCCCAAGTAGTGTCACCTGGGCCTTGGCCACACCAGGCTGTGTGGGGTTGAGGTGTGAGGCAAGCAAACCCATCCACTGGCCCCTCTGGAGCAGGCTTGGAGATGTGGGTTCTGTTTCCCTCAGCAGTTCTCCTCCCTCAGGGAAGAGCAGAGGTGACCAAAATGTGCAGGGAGCCCCAGCGACATTTCAGGCTGTGCTGTGAGATTGCGTTCATTCTGTGTATTTGCCAGAACTGCTTTATGGAGCAGAATCAATTCTTGGGAGTTTTTATTTTCATTCCATATGGCTCATATCTCTTGAACATCAGAGACACAACCAAAAGGTAGGAGGATGGAGAAAGTTCCTTAAATAACTTTAAAAATGTTGTCCAACTCTTAGTTTATATTACAAATTGTTACAGACTTATCTTTTCAGTCATCCGTAAAAAAAATTAGCTGGGACTCCAAAGAAATGGAGCCACTAGCTTGTAAGGTGTCTGGTGTACCAGGGAACTTAGGAGCGCATGGGTTGTGTGCTCTTGGCCCAGTAAACCCACTCGCTTTGAGTTGATCCCCTCCTATAGCAGGCCTCTTGGATGTAGAGACTGCCTCATAGCTTTCCGAAGCTGTCATCTTTACAGCAGCACACTACCACACGTTTCTGCAATGGAGCTCTGGGCGCCGGGGTGAGGTGGGGTGTTCAAAGCCCCCACTTTGCACTTAGCTGTCCCACCAACGCTCCTTGCTCATGTCTAGTACTCAAAAGTGAGGACCACTGGGATCAGCTTCATCACCTGGGAGCTTGTTAATAATGCCACACTTCAGGTTCTGCCCCAGACCTCGCAAGTCAGAAACTGAACATGAGACCTGGCGATTCATGATTTCACGTCCCTTCTAGGGTAGGGTGTGCTCTCACAGTAGGTGCATGGCAGTCTGTGTAAACTGTTAGCTCCATGCTCCTGTGCTGCTGATGCCAGTCTTATTTGTTGTGTTTGAGCTTGTCCTTTCAGTGTTCAGTTGACATGTTGTTTTGTTTGTCTCAGCAACTCTTAAAAACTTGGGAGTCTAAGTGAGGTCAATTTGGTTCACTTTCTTGTGGGTTTGAGCCTGCCATTTTCCGTTTTCAAAGGGGCCTATGTCTGTCAGTTTTTAAACTGTTCTTAATTGGCTCATAGATGAGAGTTTCTGAAATAAGTGATTAAACAGCATGGGGTCTAGAGGTCTGACATCACATTAGCACTGAATTGCTGTAGGATAATCCAGTTCGGGGGAGAGGTTATAGTGTGTGGTGCAGCTTCTTGAAGTCTAATTGTAAAGGGACCTTCAGTTTATGTAAGGTGCCCTGGAACTTTGTGGACTAATAGTTTCAAGGTTAGCAGTTCAAGCCACCAGCCACTCTGCAGGAGAAAGATGAGGCTGTCTGCTCCCATAAAGAGTAGACAGACAATCTCAGAAATCCACAGGGGCATTCGGAATCAACTTGATGGCAGTGAGAGCCACTTGGAGGGAGAGGAGTGAGGCTTTCTGCTCCCAGAAAGATCGACAGTCTAAAAAGCCCTAGGTGGGGTGGCTACGAGTTGGAGTCTACTCAACGGTTGTGAACTTGGGGACTGGGCATGTTTACATAGGCATTGTGAGTTAGTAGGATTTGATCATGTATGTTTGTTACCATAGCCAGTCACATTCAGTATGTGAGTCCTCTCAAGATTACAAGCAAAAAGTCATCACAGATTGCTGTTCATTGGGCAGTCTTCCCATTCCCCCCCTTTTGCTTGAAGCTAGTAAGGGGTCACACAAGATATCTCCATCCCACAAGGTTTCAGAGACATTCTGCCTGTGTAATGACATTAGGACTTTGGATTTTTGTGTACGTGATGTGTAAGTGGAATTGTTTCTCTTTAACAAGAGAGTAAACCATTGTTTTGTTTTGTTTTTGTCTTTGTCACTTACAGGTGCATGGTTTAGACCCCAGTACTTGGAAAACGGTTGAAATCGTCCACATAGACATTGCAGATCGGAGTCAAGTTGAACCAGCAGTAAGCACTACTCATCATTTCTAACCTGTCATTTGTTATCATCTAGAAAATGCTTCTCTTTCTCTCGAGCCTGGTCTATATTTTTACTCTGGAAATGTATACCTGATGCAAAGGCAGCAAAGCTTCCAGGTGAGCGGAGGAGAGAAAGTGGTTTGGGGCGTATTTCAGCTTTATACTTACCGGTTTAGGTTGGTGCTTATTTTCATTGAAGACAAGGAAATACTTCACCGAAGAATTCTCCTTGGAGCTTCATTAAGTGATACTTGTCCCTCATATTTTTTAAATGATTAAGAATGTAAAAATGTATGATTTATGTAACATATTTCCAAGCCACCTGGCAAGAGCTAGAATGGTCATTTGTGCAAAATGGCGATGGAGAGCATTTCAGTTGAAGAATGGTGTCACTTTCTATTTTGAGCCTTAGGAGGAGGCTTCAAAAAGTTTATGGTACAATTTCATGTTCTATTCATTCTGTTTTTCCATAAACTTTTTGAAGCTGCTTCTACTAGATGTAAATTTTGTACTCTGGGCATTTGACTTACAGTCCCCCACCGCCAAAAGTAGAGGTGCTCTTCCTCCCCTGTGGCTTATTTTGTAGCTACTCATGAATAATAATTTTTTCCAGTGTTGCCGTGTACTGCTTTGAGTTACAGGGCATAGCCATGGACTTTGACAAGTTCCGGCAGCCATAGCTCGTTCTTGTGTACCCTGTCCCCCAACCCCCACGCCTGCCCTAACCACCCAGAGCTATGACTTTGGAATGGGAGCGGCACCTCTGTTCGGTTGTAGCCAGGCACCGCACATTCATCCAGCGTTCCCAGCTGTTTATTGGTGTGTTAGTCCAGGTAGACTAGAGAAACAAATTCATAGACACTCATAGTCCAGATCAAGTCCATAAGTCTGATATTAACCCATATGTCCGATACCAATCTATAAAATCCTCTTCAGATTCATGAAACACATGTAGTGATGCTGAATGCAGAAAGATCACAGGCCAGTAGGTGGGAAGTCTTGTGGATCCAATGGCGTAAGCATCTCAGCACTGGCGTGGGTCTCCACGTGGTTCCTTCAACTTCGAGGCTCTGACTGCCATCAGCCTGTCTCCATGTGTCTTTTCAGCTGCAGTGTCTCCCAGGGAGTGAGCTGAGAGAAAGAGAGAGAGTCTCCTGCCTCCAAGGAGGAATACAGGAGTTCCCAGAATCCTCAGAAAGACATGCCCACACAGAGGCCTCATTGGCTATGACTTGATTGACAGGCTAGACTCCACCCCTTCATTCCTAATCCTCTCAAATTGACAAATGATTATATAACTACCACAATCAGTGTGTGTTACTTGAACTTGAGCACTGTTGTCAGCAGAGTAGGCATAACACACACACTATGCTTTTGAAATTTAAAGGTAGCTCTTACAAAACAGAGGTCCCTGAACTTTTCCCAGAAATGATTGGGGCCCTGCCAACAGTGCCAGAACCTGTCTGAGCCCCTTCCCTGCTTCAAAAGGTGGGGTGGGGGGCACCGTGGGGTATCTGGGGGGTCACAGTGGCTGCAGCTGGCTCAGTCATCTCCCTGGGAAGCCTGGGACTTTCTTACTGGTACGCATAGGGAATCTTTATTCTAGAAAAGTGTATGTTTTAGCTGTGATCGGCAGTGATGACAATTCTAGGGAGTGTTCTACAATGGGAATGAATTAAATCGTTTCGGAAACCGTAATATTCATAGGCTCTGTCTCTTTTGTTCTCATTTCTCTTAGTTCTAGTCCGGATGTGCCGTTTGTGATTGACTGAAGATGGGAAGAAACAGGATGGGGAGTGTGGAGTGTGTATGACTCAGTTGATGTCTAGGTCAGGCAGGTGACTTAAATGCCAGCGGGTCACAAGATGGCCAAGCCAGTGGCAGGCACACCGTGAGACCAGGTGCCCTGGTGGAAGTCAGTCCGATGATGTTACTGGTCTGAAAATGTGGTAGCAAGCAAACAAAATGGTCCTTCCGGTTTCATCTGGGCCCATAGCTTTTCTGGCTGTGCTGTGCCCCAGCAGAGGACACGGGACCCTTGGTTTTACTGGAGGCCGAGAAGTGGGTCTTTGTGCCTCTCCTCAAGCTAAAATGTCTGTAATCATGGATGCTAATGCAAAGAGTCTTGGAGGGCCTCAGAGGCCAGTGCCTGGGCTGGCCACCCCTGCCACTTTTCAAGAGAACAGGCGCTATTGGCTCTCAAAACTCAGGTCAGCGAGTCTTTAGACTGGTGCCCCAGGTGGAGCATGCATGTGTATGGGCTGAGGAGGGGGTTCCTCTGGAAGAGGCTGTGTTTGGGGTGAGTAGGCAGTGACAGAAAATGGATCAGCCTGAGGAGGAAGTGGTGTAGCCAAAATGCCTGGAGCTATGACTGAGAGCAGACTTGCTTCTCATTGGAATCCTGGCTCTGCCGCCTGCTGGCTTCTGAACTTTAGACAGTTCTTAACCTCTCTGGGACTGTTTGTGCACAGGGAGGCTAATTACCTCACAGACTTGGAGGAGTTTGTTCCCATGTCACCAGTAGAGAGCACTGAGGAAACCGGAAGCCACGATAAAGGAATGTTTCTTGAGATCACATGACTAACGCCAATGCTGCCTGTTCTCTTGACCCAGTCAGTTCTTCCCTCGGGGTTCCCCCTAAGCTAGGACCTGGCGAGTATTTGAAGTTTCAGGGTTGCCACGGGAACTATGTTGCCCTCCCCTCCAAAGAAAGAGTCACAGAACACCTTCCCCTCTGCCACCTGTCTGCTCATTGGCTCCCTGCTGACCCTCAGGAGCTCGTTCAGCTCGTGGGCCCATTGCCAATATTTGTCCAGCCAGCCTGGTGAGCCTGAGGATGGGCCAAACAAGCATGATGTACATTGGAAAGCTCACATCTATTTGATTTCAGTTTGATCACTTTGAGTTTAGCCGTTTTGATAGCAGTTTGATCTCGTTGGGCTCTCATGGCTGAGGAAGAACATTGCACTTCAGCCTGTCTAGTGGGATTGTAATCGCAATCGCCCATGCCCTTTGCCCCAGCAAACTTCCACTTCTCGGAACAGGCCTACGAAGTTCCTGGTGTGTGAACTAGCAAGTACGTAAACAAGCCTAGAGAGACAGTCTGAGGCCTAAGTGCTTCTCCAAACCAAACTCACTGCCTTTGAGTCAATGCTGATTCATAGTGACCCCCTGTGGATTTCTGAGACTGTTTATAGGAGTGGAAAGCCCCGTCTTTGTCCCAAGGAGCAGCTGGTGGCTTCAAACTGCTGACCATGCAGATCACAGCCCAACTCGGAGCCACTACACAGCCAGGGCTCCTATAATTGCTTCTCTGCCAGTCAGGAACTGGCCTCACACATCACCTGCTTGTGCATATGGTGGCATCTGCAGGTAGGTCCCAATTCAGGATACTACCAGTTCCACAAACTCCACTCACTACCCTCTGTTTGCTGGTTTTTTGGTGGTGGTGGTGTTAAAATGTATCTGTTCATATGTAATGTTCCCAATCCCTGAAGACAACCCCCTCCAAAAAAAAAAAAGGATTTATAAAAATACTGATAATAAAAGAAGATAGTGATGAAAACTTAAAAATATATATATTTGACTTGAAACCCACCCTGTGGCCGAGTCTTGGGACCAGGGATGCTGTGATGCTGGCATTCAAAGGAAGTAAGATCTATTGAACAGAAAGGCAATGCTTTCCGAGGTTATATGGAGGGGAGAACAGCCAGAAACTGACAGTTATCTTGTATAACAAGCCACCCCCCCTGCCAGCAAGTGTATTCTGGTTCATGAAGATCCTACAGGACAGAGCAGAACTGCTCCCAGGTTTTCTGAGCCTGTGGATCTTCACAGAAGCAAGTTGCCTCGTCTTTTTCCCTTGGAATGGCTGGCGGATTCGAACTACTAACACCCGCCAACTTTACAGTTAGAAGTTGAAAAAGACAAACGTCCACAGGCATGCTAGTACTTATTTGTGCCTAGACTTGGGGATGAGTGTGTGAGACCCAGGTCATGGTGAAGCCCTCAGGAAAGTCCAGCCAGGTGGCTGGGGAAACAGATGGGCAAAAGATGGTGCCCCCCCCATGGCTTTTGACATGTGTCCCTGTTTGTTACACACAGTTGAAGGTGGCTTGTGGAAGACGCTCTCCTAGTGTGCTGCACAGGAGAGCCAGTGGTGCCAGTGTGCCATCACGCACCCTGTTTGGGCTTGCTCTTTATGTTCTGTATCACACAGTCTCCAGGCATCAGCTGGCACATCAGGAGTTTGTTTTCTTTCTTTTTTTTTTTTAGGAGTTTGTTTTCTTGGCTAGTTAAATTACCAGTGATTTGGTGGCTAAGTAATGGATCCCATTCCAGGTACCCCAGTCACTTGATCTGCCCTGGTGGTTAAGCAGCAAGTCACAGGTGGAGCGGGGAGGGATGGTGCTGTCACTCAAGGGATTGCCTGGAGTAAATGCCACACCAACTGCCAGCATTTAGTGCCTGAATCTTGCTCTTCAGAGGTTGAAGTTTCATTGTAATCCAGAACTCAGTCACTAGGAGGGAAGCAAGAAAGGAGACCTTGAGGGAGTGAGGGGAGGGGAGTAAACCTGGGGCATCTGGATTCCTGGAGGTATTGGCATGCTTCAGTCTTTCTGTTTTTAACAGACTACTCTGGTCTTCCCTGAATGAGTTGGGTTTTTTTTTTTCTTTTGTTGTTGTTATTTATTTTTTTTAATCATTTTATTGGGGGCTCGTACAACTCTTGTCACAATCCATACATACATAAATTGTATAAAGCACATTTGTGCATTCATTGCCCTCCTCATTCTCAAAACATTTGCTCTCCACATAAGCCCCTGGCGTCAGCTCCTCATTTTCCCCCTTCCCTCCCCGCTCCCCCCCTCCCTCATAAACCCTTGATAATTTATAAATTATTATTTTGTCATATCTTACACTGTCCAACGTCTCCCTTCACCCACTTTTCTGTTGTCTGTTCCCCAGGGAGGAGGTTATATGTAGAT